CAGCTGCATATACAGCAATTCACCAATAGATTAATGCCTAATTACCTTGGTAATTATCTTGCTTAGTCACAGAAAACAAGAGGTTTGAGGCCAATGTTAATTTTCATGAGTTTTACCTCTGTTTCGTAGGGAAGAGAACAATTTTCCTCTTGGTTTTTATGCGATTACAAGACAAATGCACAGATAACATTACACACCCATACTCACAAACACTACCAAAAAAGTACTTTGTAGAGATATTTTTTTAAGTACTGTAATGTAAAGGCATTTTAAAAAATATCTAATAAGTGTCTTATGATGAATTGTCTCTACAAACGAAGAGATATTTTCAAAAAATATCTAATAAGTGTGTTATAATGAATTGTCTTTACAAACGAAGAGACATTTTGTAAAATATATGTATAGGTATTTTCTAGAGATATTAAATTGTATAACGCGAACGTATGAAACCAGTCTAAAAAGGAGAATAAAATTGTTTCCATACTTTTGTCAAGCCTTGGACTCAAGATCTCTTGGACAAATCATTTTTATCTTTAATACACTAACCAACTTAACTCCACGTCATTACTTGTATGTTTGTGCCGTTAGTTACTTATATTTAGCCCTTTAGTACAAATTACCATTCTCAAAAGTGTCTCTACATTATTTAAAATGTCTCGAGAAAATTCCTTTACATATTAGGCGCATTTTACAGAACCGAAATAATGCCTCTACAAGATAAAATCTAATAAACTGAGCTAAATGTCTCTAGAGTAAAAGTTTTCTAGGTAATTTTCTATAAAGTGTCTCTACACCATAAAACTTCTGTCTTAGAAGCAATTTGCAAAACGTCCCATGTGGCGAAACATTGGTGGCCACATGAATTTTTCATGTTTACGATTTGCCCTAATTCATATGTTCCAAGCATATCCACATTATTTTTCCACAGAAATTAAATCCTTAGACCAAAAGAGCCTAAAAGTAACTTATCAAAAATTCAGGTGCAGGCAGACAGGAAGGGCCACTTTTTGGTGTTATACAAATCAGTACACCATTTAAAAAAGTTCACGAATGCACTTTCTAACATACGTTCAAACATACTCTCTTCATCCCATAAAAAACTAATCTAGTGCCGAATGTAACATACCCTAGTCCTATGAATCTGGACATATATCTGTCCAGATTCACAGTATTAGAATGTGCCACATCTAATTATAGATTCGGTTTTTATGCGACACATCCCTAACCTTCCTAAAATTTTATTCATCGAAATATTGGTCGCCATATTAATCTTTTCCCCGTTTACGATTTGCCCTAGTTCATATGCTCCAAGCACATCCACATTATTTTTCCTCAGAAATTAAATCCTTTTAAGAATTTCTTTGAAAATCATTCGAATCAAACGAGCCTAAAATTAACTTCTCAAAAATTCAGGTGCAGGCAGACAGGAAGGACCATCAGTACATCACTTGTCAACGTCAGTGACCCATACCAGTATACCACCAATTGTAGTGAATTATTGCCTCGCTAGGGTGCTTAGCGGTGCAAGCAACCCATTTGGCGACGTCTCGTTCTCCACCTAGACAAAAAGTAGGATAAATCCATGGATCACAAATTCCGACTCTCATGAGGTGTTTAGATCTGTAAAGTTTTTATCACATCGGATATGTCGGCATACATTTGAAATATTAAACGTAGACTAATAACAAAACAAATTATAGATTCTGTCTGTAAACAGTGAGACAAATTTATTAAGCCTAATTAATCTGTCATTAGTAAATATTTACTGTAGCACCACATTGTCAAATCATGGACTAATTAGGCTTAAAAAATTCGTCTCACAATTTACACGTAATCTGTATAATTAATTATTTTTTTTATCTATATTTAATCCTCTATGAAGGTGTTAAAACGTTCGATATGACAGGGCGAAAAATTTTGGGTAGGATCGAAACATAGCCTTAGAGTGCACGGTTCTCAACTGACAGATTCACTTTTGCTGATCAGTCTAGTACTTTTTTCTCTTTATTTTCAACCCCCAATAATTTACACATAAAACCCTAGAGAAAGAAAACAAGTCTGCTGTGTTAGTGTTGACGAAAAATTCGTGCTCAGTCAATGGTGCCGGAACTGTCTTTACGCAAACTAAGTCGACGAACACAACGGTTTGAGAGATTTACTTAACTCTATTAGTTGATAAGCTGATAGAGTAGTTCCAGCAGATGCCTTGTAACATCCTTGAGTTTTGCCCTATTTGAAGTCATAGTCCAATCTCAGTCACTCCCCAAATTTTTTTTGCAAAAATCTGCATCATGTTGAATCTTCGATCGAATTACTTTTGCATTGTTGACTTTCTTGCCCCTAAATCTTAAACCTTTTGTTTTGTCCTTAAAAAGAAATCTAAATATTTTATTTTATCCTCTCTGTGTTGCCTCCTGTCTTGACCTGTCTGTGGAAGTTTATTCTTGCTCCCTCCAATCACCATTCTCAGGAAAAGTCTAGCTTCCCTCCTCCCTCTTTCTTTTCTATATCTATTTCCCTCCCAGATGGCTCTGAGCCTCAGCCGAGCCGAGCCAACATGGCGCAAGGGTGGGGCTCGATCCCCTTTCCTCTCTCTCGGCAAGGTCGTGCCACCCACAGAGCCTTTGCGCCGCCCCCGTGCTCCTCCCTAACGGCCGCCGCGCCAATTCCACCGGCGGACTCGTTGCCCTTCCCCTCCATTTGTTCCCCGGCCTGCCGCCACCGCACCGCTGAGCCGTGGCATGAGTCCCGTTCCCCGCGCTCGGCTAGGTGTACCATTCAACTACACGGAGGCGCAACCATGGCAATCAATGCGATGGAACTTGGCTGGTGAAGGTTGGTGACGACGGCGGCTCAGCTACCCCGGGCAACGGCGTCTCGCGATTCACGTCACCTTGTCCCCGCGCGGTCCAACATACCGTCGCCACACGCCCTGCTGCACAGGGAGGCCGTCCCATTGCCGCCGCCACCCCGACATTCCTCTGCGTCGCCTTTCGGTCGGCGCACGGGAATCGCATTGAAGGCATTCAATGCACCTTCATCAGCTCGGTGAGCGTCCGCGCCCTATATATATCTCCCCGCGCCATGCACCCTCTCTTCATCCTCTCTGTCACCACTTCCCTCTCGCTCTCGTTCCTCTCCACTCTCTTGTTTGCGCATTAGCTGCTGCCGCTCCACTTACTTCGCCTCGGCTTGCCTTGGGCTAGAGCTTAGGTTGAGCAAGATGGAGGGGTAGGCAGCCGCGCTGTGCATTGCACGAACGATCGAACGTAACTCAACTAAAACTTGCTCAATCTAATCAATCGAACACCTTTGAAACACGGATGAACACCTTCGGTCGCCGGTCGAACACCTGGAGCGCGAGGACGAACCGCGTGCTCGACCTTCACCGACCGGTACTCTACGCCCGTTATTTTGCTCGTGACTTCGCTGGTGTGCCGCTTCCCGACTGCCGCACGGTGAGCACCCTCTCTTTCCCCCTTTTCTTGCTCCTCTCAGTCGCGTTTTCATGTGCCCGCTCCTCGCGATGGTCGCCGCCTTGTCAGCTGTTGCGCCCAGACACTAGGTCCCTAATATCGTGCCTGCCTAGCTCGCCACGCCTCCCTGGTCATTGGTTCAACCGTGCCACGGGAAAACGCGAACGCACATGCGACGCTCCATAACTCTGTTCGAGACGTGCGCGGCCCGGACCAGCCGGCTACCGCCGTCTAAGCTATCCCGAACCTCGGTAACGCGCGCGCCAGAGGGTACCTCGCGCTCGCTAGTGGTAAACCCCTCACCATTAGGCACCAAGCCACCAATTAGGACCTCTCGCTGGCGTTCTCGCCATGCCGTCGGCCGGCTGCGTACACTGTCGTGGCTGGCCACCTCCTTCCCGCCACTGGTGAGGGGTGAAAGTGACATGTTTGAACACTGTTGGAGCACGAATTTGTTTTTTTTTCTCCCTGTGTACATCATATTTTAAGGTGATTTTTTGTATGATGATACGGGGGCTCCTAGCTAGCGCGTACGCGCTGCTAGCGAGCATCTCTCCTTAAGGTTTAAGGACCTCTATTATCTATTAATCTATTAGTTAATACTTAACACTAATGATACTAGTAGTAATTAGGAAAGATTCTGAAGATTTTTTTGAGAGATATTTTTACTAAGAAATTGAAAAAAAATTAAGTTAGATTTGAAAACTTTTGATTTAAGTTTCAAATTTTAAAGTCAAATTTTGAAAACTTTCAACTCAGATTCGAAAAATTTCAATTCGAGATTTGAAAACTTTCAACTCAGATTTGAAAACTTTCAACTCGAGAATTGAGATTCGAAAACTTTCAAGTCTGGATTTGAAAATTTTGAAAACTTTTAACTTGAGATTTGAAAATTTTCAACTCGAGATTTGAAAACTTTCAACTCAAGATTCGAAAACTTTCAAGTCCAGATTTAAATATTTTGAAAACTTTCAACTTGAGATTTGAAAATTTTCAACTCGAGATTCGAAAACTTTCATGTCCAGATTTGAAAATTTTGAAAACTTTCAACCCAGATTCGAAAATTTTCACTTGAGATTTGAAAATTTAAGGCCAAATTTGAAAATTTTCAAGTCAATATTTAAAAACTTTCAACTCAAAACATTTGAAAAAACACATGTGCTAAAAGATTAAAAAAAGCGAAAAAAAGCGAAGAAAAAACGGAAAAACCGGTGTTAGAGATTGGTTAGAGAAAAAAAAATCTCGCGCGCGTGGGCCTTGTGAGCCGGGCGTGCGCGCTAGCAAAACCGTGATGATACATGTCATAGTGCTGAAGATCTCTGATTTTTTCACATTTTTTTGTGACTTTTTGGGTGTATTTTTTAAGCTCGGTAGCACGGTAGCACGGCACTGTTCCGTAGCACCAGATATTCTTTCGTTGCGAACCCTAGTCGGTGGGCCTAACAGAATTACCTGCATTCAGAGGGGCCTAGGTGAAAAAGCGGCGAAACATTCGTCGGATATATACTCGAGTCCCGATACACAGGGAACAGACAAGATTGCGAGCGGCGGCGCCTCCTCCACCCGCTCTTCGACTCCTCCCGATTCTCCGGGTTTTCTCTCGATTTCCGCCGAATTTCGCTCCGCTCCAGCAATGGGCGAATTGGGTGCTCTCCAGTCCATCGTCTACCACCGCGGATCGCTCCGCCTGCTTGATCAGGTTCGTTTTTATTCTCTTCTTGTTTTTTGTTCTTTACTGGTGAGGTGGGGATGAGTTCTTGATTGGGTTTTTTTTTTTCCCTTGTGGGTGCAGAGGAAGCTCCCACTCGAGGTGGACTACATCGACGTCAAGTGCTCCGGCGATGGATGGTGAGCTCCGGTGTTCTCCTTTAGTCTTCCACTGTTCACTCTCGGTTAAAGATTCTTGCCAAAGCTATCCCAAGTTCCCAACAGCTGGGAGATGATGCAGAGATCCAAATCTTTTGTTTTCTCTTGAATGATGTAATGATGTTTTTGTTCCGTGGATTGTTCAGGAACGCAATCAGAGACATGGTTGTCCGTGGCGCTCCTGCGATTGCCATAGCAGCGGCTTTGGCTCTGGCTGTAGAGGTTTCTGGGTTGGAGGATTTCACCGGTACGCCTGCAGAGGCAGCAGTTTTTGTTTCCGAGAAATTGGAGTACCTTGTATCGAGGTATCCAAAGCTAACCATATCATTGTGTGCAATAATTTGGTCCTGATGTTCATGTTATCCATTTGGACAAAAATTAGACTTCATATTCCTCTTTTTTATTTTCAGCCGCCCAACTGCAGTGAACCTATCTGATGCTGCAACCAAGCTTCGGAGTTTAGTTTCAAGGACAGCAGAAACTGAGAAAGATGCCAAAGCAATCTTTCAGGTGCTATTCTATAGACCAATAATTTCAGTGTATCTTTCTTCTCACCATTTCATCGGTAGATATAACTTACAGTAAACATATTTATTGTGATTGGTGAATTACAATTGCCAGTAGTATACAGTTTATCCATCCTGGGACAGTATGTTTCTTTTTATCTTAGCTAGCAGTAACCAACCTGAAACAGTGGAGTCCACAGATTAATACGTTTTTTATTCAGAGACAAATTGGTAGATTTGAACTAGCACTTTTTCTGAAATGTGATACTTATTAGTTCGGACTTCAAACCATAACACAAAATTATATAATTTCACATCATGCTCATTGACTGAAATATATCTACTTTAGTACCACTAGATAAGGAGAAATGATAACTTTTACCCAAATTTGGGCCTTTTGTGGAGAGTGATGATAGTTGTGTGGCAGTTTTGGCTGAACCCATATTGTTTTTGCATGTAACGCTGCATGTTTTTTTTTCCCTTCAAAAAGGTGATGATGTATTGCACATGGTGCTGAGCTTTCCTTTTTAATTGAGGGTAGGTGGAAGGATGTTAACCTTTATTATCCTATTCTTATTCTCCTTTCCACAACTAGGCCTACATTGATGCAGCAGAGACCATGCTAGTTGACGATGTGTCAGATAACAAGGCAATTGGCTCTCATGGAGCTGAGTTTCTCAAACAGAAACTTGAGGTCTCTAAAGATATTTCTGTTCTAACACACTGTAATACTGGCAGGTAAATGTGTGAAACTGTGAATTGAGATGACTTGTTTTTCTTTGTATATATGATGCTCAGATTCTGAACATAATGGTGCATTTTCTCTTTTTGTTATGATGCAGTCTTGCGACTGCTGGTTATGGAACTGCCTTGGGGGTTATTCGTGCTCTTCACTCTGGAGGAATTCTAGAGAAGGCCTTTTGCACTGAAACTCGTCCATTTAACCAGGTGGATATTCCTTCATTTGCAGAGGAGCTTTTGATTTGGCTTCCTGTTTGTTCCAAGATGTGGATTTTGATCAAAATCTTTACATCTTTGGCATATTTCTTTTTATTTATTTAGCAGGACAATGAATATCATTGCAGCTAGTCATCTTAAACCACTGTCCTGTCCAGGGCTTTTGAGTTCAAATTTGTCCTAACAAAGACCTGATTACCACCATCTCTTTGGCACTTATTTTTAAGATAGTAATTTTCGTAATTATTTATGGACATAAAGAAGCTCATGCCAATATACTGTTAATTGATTTCCAGGGTTCCAGGCTTACAGCTTTCGAGTTAGTTCACGACAAAGTACCCGCAACGCTGATAGCAGATTCTGCTGCAGCTGCACTGATGAAGAGCGGGTGTATTCAAGCTGTAATCGTTGGAGCTGATCGTATCGCTGCCAATGGTACACACATCAATGTCATTCCTCAGATGAATTGAAAACTAAAAATTCTTGCTATTGACTTTGTTTCCATCATAAAATCTCCAAGGTGATACTGCTAACAAGATTGGCACATACAACCTCGCCATTTCTGCGAAGCATCACGGTGTGCAATTCTACGTGGCTGCGCCGATAACTTCGATTGATCTCTCCCTCCCATCTGGTGAGCAAATTGTGATCGAAGAGAGGTCTCCCAATGAGTTGCTGAACTCTGAAGGTGGCCTAGGTAAGCAAGTCGCCGCGTCAGGTATATCGGTGTGGAACCCTGCCTTCGATGTTACTCCGGCAAATCTGATTACCGCAATCATAACGGAAAAGGTATACAAATGAGCCATTGTGGCGTGAACTTCAGTTAATAATTGGTCTATATGTATGAAGAACATTGTTTTTATTGACCAGAGTTTTCTTGTTCATGTACAGGGTGTGATCACAAAGTCTGATGCTGATGAGACTTTCAACATCAAAGATTTCATCCAGTCTGCAAAATTGTACTCTACCATGCAGTGAGGGGTCACCTCTTTAGGGTAGTAAATAATCTGATGAAGCATCCTTTTTCTTACTATATTGAAAAGGCCCATGTTGTACTGTCAAAAAAAAATTGCTCCTAGTGAAGCAGAAAATTAGGTCTTTTTGCGCCACAAAATTTGATGTACTGTGAAGATATATGACCATGTGTGTCTCGTGAGCCGGACAAGATTCTTGAGAAATCCACGTCTCCATCAAGAACTCTTTTTTTTTTCATATTCCGGTTGGAACCAAAATTAAGTTCTGATGCGCTCGCTGAACTTTCTTAAAATTTGGATTGCACATCATGGCCTAATATAACATACTCTTTCGGTTGATCTTTTATAGGTGTACTAGTAGCATGTCCGTGCTAACGCTACGGTAGCATTTAGTAACGCAAATTAAATACATATATGTTTTGACAGTGTAAAACAAACTGTCTAATACTAAAAGAGAATGATAGAGTGGGTTATTGTATAGTTAATTACATAGCCACGTGTAAAATAACAATTATGCGCTACATAACTTATGCTAATGTTCTGAAACTTATGCAGATGAAGAAGATCCATCCTCTATCTCAGGGAGGATCGTAGAGTGCTCTTGGAATAAGGAAGATGGCTGTTGGGTCTGCATGCGTATATCCGATAAATCAACTCCAAATGATATCTTAGGGAGGATTATCAATTATGTCCCTTTTGTCAAGGTGACTCGCCTGCAAAATGAAGGATATAGTTGGGGGGGGGGGGGGGGGGGTTCGGCTGCTGATGGACATCTGTAAAGTTTTCTATAACCACTGTATCCAACATGGTATTGGTATATCACACTAAAGGAGCAAAAAAGTTCGCCTTATCATATGATACTAATATTCCTCGGCAGGTGAGGTGATCAGCGTCTCAATACTGACCCTTTGTGTCCCTCTTTAGTTTCAGTTGTCCTTTACAGTACTGGGGTGTGTTTAGTTCACGTTAAAATTGGAAGTTTGGTTGATATTGAAACGATATGATAGAAAAGTTGGAAGTTTATGTGTGTGAAAAGTTTTGATGTGATGAAAAAGTTGGAAGTTTGAAAAAAAAATTTGGAACTAAACAAGGGGCTTACTTGCACATTCTAGGCTGACTAGAGGATCTTCTTTCTCAATATCCTTAAAAGCCTGGTGTGATTTTAATGTTCTTAGTAGTTTTTTTTTCTTTTTCTGATTGATGTACATTTATCCTAGTTGTGACGTTCCCTTCCGTCGGTGCTAACACCTCCTTTGCTCCCCTCCAGCTTCTGCTAAAATAACAATTTTACAGATCAGAACCAATGTTTGAAATTCAATCATCAGAAATATGCTTACCAGCGCTTTGCTTCAGCCATTTCACAAAGCTTCTTTGGCAGAAAAAAAATCCTGACAAGTTAATAGAAAAGAGCATTCGGGAATAGGAAACAAGATTGCCAAAAATCACCAAACACAATTAGTTATTTCATTGAACAGAAGGTAGGCATACATCCTGAGGCACAAAGTTGTAGATTCACTGAGGAAGAGCACCCAGCAGCAGTCATTCATCTTATGTACTCATCAGATAAGGTCGGTTAACTATTAATTCTAAACTCCAGAATGGACCTAAAGGTTTTATGCTAAATTCTAGCATGAATCCATGTTGCTGCCTAAAAGTATATATATTGAGGTTTATCTAAAACACCATTCCATTTCCAGCAATACAATTAGACGGGCAATACAATTAGTCAATCTGCTTTTGTTCTTAGAATGTAACATATCAGTATATCACCAAACAGAAAAACAACGAATATATTATTATATACATAAAAAGAAGCATTTTTTCTTAGAATAATAATTGTACACTCGACCATGTTAAAACGTAAAGCTACCATTGTAAGACCATACCATGTATACATTTCCTAAGAGCATCTCCAAGAGCCTAGCCAAATGGCACTCTAAGTTAAAATTTGGCTAACTTAAAAAAAAAAATCTACTCCAACAGACTAGCTAAATGCCTCTCCAAGCCATTCGACTGGCTAAATTCCCCACCAGACTAGCCAAATTTTGCCAGCCAAAGCCAGCTAGCCATATGTGGGACCCATGCCTGTTCCCCCTCTCTCTCCACGCGGCACACACCTGTGACGAGGGCGCCGCCGCCCCGTCGTCGCCGCGGCTGGTCCCCACCGCCCCGTCGTCGCCGCAGCCAGCCACCGCCGCCCCGTCTTTGCGCGGCCGGCCACCGCCACCGCCACCGCCGAGCTCCGCCCCGAGCTCCGCCGCCGCCCCCTTCTAGATCCGCCGTCAAGGTCGTCGCGAGCCGCCGCCGTCAAGGTCGTCGCGAGCCGCCGCCGCCGAGCTCCGCCCCGAGTGGCGTCGAGATCGTCGTTGCCCCGGGTCGTCCCTACGCTCGCAGAACCCCGTCGAGGCCGCCGCCCGCGCCTACGACACCATGCGACTTTGCCGAGGCCGCTGCCCGAGCCAGCGCCGCCGTCGCGAGGTCGCTCCGTGGCGCCGCCGCCCGCACCAACCGTCGCTGCGACGCCGCCGCGAGGTCGCTCCATGGCGACTCCGCCGAGGGCGCGGCCCGAGCCTACGGCGCGAACCGAGCCGAGGTCGGTGATGGTGGTGGTTTTGGGGTGTGGGGGGGGGGGGGGGGGGGATTGTGGGTGTCGGGTGATGGTGGTTTTTTTGTGTGTGTGGTGGGGGGTGAAGGGGGAGGAAGGAGTGATAGACTGGGTCCTAGTGTCATAGACTCAGAATAGAGATGGTGGATGAAGAGACGGTTGGAGTAAGCAACATGTTTAACTTGCTAAATTAATTGGAGAGTTGGCTATATAGGTATTTGGAGAGTGTGATTGGGTAGTCTGTTGGAGATGCTCTTATCCTAAATTGGTTTTCAGACAAGCAAACTTAATTGGAAAATCTTAAATCTGGCCATTTTTCAGAAATAAAAAATTACTTTCCCCAAACATTCATACTTTCCTGCCAAAGATATTATGGTCCTCAAGGACAGAAGAAATTTGGACACTGTGTTATGGTAATTGGTGAATAAAACAAGTGTTAATTGGATTCATGCCATTATAACTTTTAAGGTTTTAAAATATACCATTGCTATTTACATAATTGAAACGATGCCATCAGAATACGTATGAAATTAGACCCATGCCATGATGTACACTCACGACATGTTCTGGATGGTTTCTTTTGCGACATATTTTCGTAGAGACCAAATTACCCCTGCATCCCTTTCAATAGCTGGTCACCCTGAGCACACGATGCACCCAAAAATCCATTCCCCATTCCCCCATCTGTCCAAGCACAACGGTGGAGGCTGAGGTGGATGGCGGCGGGGGAGGCTGGGGCGCACGGCGGCGACGGTGGATGGGCATGGAGGAGGTGCAGTGAGTGGAGCTGGAGGACAGAGGTGGACATGATGGTGATCAGCGCTTTCTTCGTTGGCTCCGGCGAGGGTCTCAAGCACCAACATCAAGTCGTCGGCGCTCGTCAACCAACTCATCAGCGATTACAATGATGGAGGAAAGGGCATTTTGGTCCTATACGGAAATACGGTGGCCAAAAACGACGCAGTTTTATATTCTCTCCGTCCCAAAATATAAGAGATTTTGAGTTTTTTTCTTGCAACATTTGACCACTCATCTTATTCAATTTTTTTTACAAATATAAAAAATAAAAAGTTGTGCTTAAAGTATTATCGATAATAAAGTAAGTCACCGATAAAAAAAATAATTTTTAAAAAAATTGAATAAGACATGTGGTCAAACGTTACAAGAAAAACTAAAAATCCCTTATATTATAAGACGGAGAGAGTATATGATGGGTCAATTGTCAAATTTTCGGATAAAATTGGAGGTTAGTTGAGAATTATTTTTGTTTTTTATTTTCAAAAAATAGAGAGAGATAGGGAGATAAACTCAATCCCCTCGGCGTCGACTCCCCGCGACTCGCGACTTGGCCCGCCGCCGATCTCCATCCCGCGGCCAGATCAGGGAGCGCCGCCGTCCCGCTGCTCCCATCCGATCTCCATCCCATCCCATCCCGGTGAGCATCCGCCCCGTACTCTCGCGCATCCTCTCCCTCTACCCACGCACTTTTTTCTTTTTTTTTCTTTTTTTGTTGTTTCCTCTAGAATTTGCGTGGAACTCTTTTTCGGAAAAAGAAAAAGAATTTGCGTGAAACCCTAGCCTCTCTTGTACCTTAATCTTGATACTAATAATAGCAGTTTGTTTGCCCCCAAAACAAAATAAGTTTGGGATTCGCCCCTCCTGCTGTTTATGCTGTTTATGGTGGGGTAAGTATTTGATAATCTTGGTTGCCGAAACTTTGAATGATTTGTGCTCGGTGAATCTGACAGCAACATTATTGCATCTGAGAAATTCAGACAATCCAGTCAATTTTTGGCTTCGAATTGATCAGGCCACTAGCCAATCTCCCAAAACAAAACCTGGCTCGCTGAATGGCTGATTTTGATGCATAGACGTATCTAAAAGTGGTCCTGGGATCACCAAAAATAGGAAGCCAACCTATGTATGTAATAAAAAGGAAAAAAAACTATTGGGAAGAGAAAAGGCTCCATTATTAATATAACGTGATGCACATTTGATCATTTTTATTCTTTTGTTGCACATTGTTGGACCACCCATATCTAAAATTTTGGATACGCCGTTGATTATTAGTTTAACTGCTCGTAATTTATAGCTTTTGCAAACAGGTCCTAACCAGACTACCAGATCGTTGATTTCAGGTGGGAATGACGGAGCAGGAGCACCGTGCGTATGCACGCGTCGGGCTCCTCGGCAATCCGAGCGACATGTATGGCGGCAAGACGCTCTCCTTCACCATTTCCAACTTCTGGGCCACTGTCCATCTAGCTCCATCCGACGATGGTGGCCCCCTTGTGATCCGGCCGCACCCACGACACGATCTCGTCGATTTTGCGTCCCTCCCACAACTTGTAAGATTCTCTGGTACCTTCTTCTATCTCTGTTGTCAGTCTTCTCATTATAGTGGCTCAGCTAGCTTAGCTATGTGCATGCTTTATTAGTTCCTCTCATGGGTATGACAGTGCTCAGAGTGGCATTATTGTTCACCACTCAAAATGCCTAAATTGACAAATAACTAGCATTAACCAATGCTAATCCAACATATGTATCATCTACCAAGTTCGAGCTGAACAAGAGCCCAAGAAAAACCTATATGGCATCCTTTGGAGCACAGGAGTTTTTCCTGATTCCTGTGTGAGATGAACTACACCATTTGAAATTCCTGTGTTCCAAAGGTCACTGCACATTTTTTTAACATTGCCAGTAAGGCCACATGCAATTCCTTAAAAATGTGCTGGAATGCCAAAATCCGGCTTATTTAATATTAGCCATCAGTCCCAGTGTAAATTATACTGAAATAGAATAGATGTCCAGCTTTGTATTTTTAGAGTAGACAACCCTGTCATCCAGCCTCACAAGTACCCCGAATTCATCAAATTACCCTTGCTCCTCAGACAACTGTAAGCTATTTTATCATCTTCTGTTAATTTCTTCCTCCAAAGGCAGGGCCGAGGTAATCATGCAGTTATTGTAACATAACTTTATCAAATAAAACCAAAAGAAACTTTTGTACTCATAAATCTTTCTTCAGTGCTGCATGTATATAAACAGAGCAGGAGCAGAGTGAAATGTTGTGTAATTTTCTATTTGATTTGTAACTTCGGAAACACTCAAATACCCAATCCCAACCTGCCAAAAGAGAATAAAAATACAAGTTCACTTACAGTTCTGAAAAAAAAAGTGTCTTTCCACATAATTTGTACACGATTGGATGCAATTATCAAGCCTTTATCTTGCGTGATGCGGATCTATGAACCTAGACATAATTTGGATGGCCATGGCAATGAAGTTTTTCGTATAGATCGATTGATCAATTTGGTATTTGGTACTACTATGTCAAACAACCATGGAATGTTTTGTCAAGATGAATGTAATTTTGTCTGTTTTTAGAAAAGTGTGGTGTACATGGAAAAACACGTGAAACAACTTCAAGCTATCAACAGCACAGATTATAAGTTAGTTTTCCTTTCCCATCATCTCACAACTTCCTTAGAGCATTATTAATTATGTCCCTTTTGTCTAGGTGACTCGCTTGCAAAATGAAGGATATAATGGGGGTGTTCGGCTGCTCATGGCCATCTGTAAAGTTTTCTATAGCCACTGTATCCAACATGGTATCGCACTAAAGGAGCAAAATTTCACCTTATCATATGATACTAATATTCCTCGGCAGGTGAGGTGATCAGCATCTCAATACTGACCCTTTGTGTCCCTCTTTAATTTCAATTGTCCATTATAGTATTGCTTGCACATTCTAGGCTGACTAGAGGATCTTCTTTCTCATTATCCTTAAAAGCTTGGTGTGATTTAATGTTTGTAGTAGTAATTTTTTCCTGATTGATGTACATTTATCCTAGCTGTGAAGTTCTCTTTAGATGTTATTAAGTTGGAATTTTATATTATTGTGGCTCTTTTGTTCTGTAGGCTGGGCTTTCTGGTTCAAGCGCTATTATTTGTGCCGCTCTAAGCTGCCTTCTTGATTTTTACAACGTCAGACATTTAATAAAAGTCGAAATCAGACCTAATATTATTCTTGATGCCGAGAAAGAGCTTGGAATTGTTGCTGGTCTTCAGGATCGGGTGGCACAGGTTTATGGTGGGCTAGTCTATATGGTATGTATGCCATGCAATTCATACTAGCTAGCAGTACTCCATAATGGTTGGTTAGTACAACAGATCCACCTAGAGCTTTGCTACTGTTTGGTTAATCTTTCACTTATAGTGTATTATTATTCCCCAAGGATTTTGGCAAGGAGCATATGGACACATTGGGTCATGGCGTGTACACACCTTTGGATATCAATCTTCTCCCTCCTCTACATCTGATCTATGCAGATAATCCGAGTGATTCTGGCAAGGTTACTGAAATTACAGATTTCTTTTGCTTGGACATAATGCAAAAATGCCAGAAACAGGACTAATAACTGATGTCCCTCCTCCCTTGTTAGCTAGGTCCACAGCACCGTTAGACAAAGATGGCTTGATGGAGAGGAGTTTATAATATCATCTATGGAAGAAGTAGCGCGGCTGGCCCTTGATGGCCGCAAGGCTCTGTTGGACAAGAATTATAGGGAGCTCGCGAGGCTTATGAACAGGAACTTCGACCTGCGGAGGTAAGATTTATTTATTTATTGAGTTGGTCATGTAGAAGAAAATAAATGCAGTACATGTTTTGACTTGAACGCTTGTGTGCGTGGCATTGGTCCAAGTAGGCAAATGTTTGGAGACGATGTGATTGGTACGGTGAACATAAAGATGGTGGAGGCTGCGAGGAGCGTGGGCGCGGCCGCCAAGTTCACCGGCAGCGGGGGCGCGGTGGTGGCCCTGTGCCCGGACGGCGAAGCGCAGGTGCTGCTCCTGGAGAAGGCGTGCCGGGATGCTGGCTTTCTTGTGCAGCGAATCCAAGTCGCGCCATCACCGCTACCGCTCACGGAGGGTAATCCTCCTTTCTAATCTGTTCTCGACTTCTTGTTTACTCCCTCCTTCCCTAAATGTTTGACGCTGTTGACTTTTTTAAACATTTTTGACCATTCGTCTTATTCAAAATTTTTTATAAAATGTGTAAAACTATATGTATATATAAAAGTATATTTAACAATAAATCAAATGATAGAAAAAGAATTAATAATTACTTAAATTTTTCAAATAAGACGAACGGTCAAACATTTTAAAAAAGGTCAACGGTGTCAAACATTTTGGGATGGAGGGAGTATTTCTCAGCTCTTTTGTTATCATTCATACATTATACATACTCTCTTGCTTTGAATCCTCCATGAAGGCACAGAACTTAATATCCTCTTGTCGAGCCTCTTTTTTCTCCCCAAATCCTGATGACAATAAGTCATCATCTTGCTTTCAATTAAGTGACTGAGTTTGTTTTATTTACGACTCCTGAAGGAGATAAGAGCACACTAGTTCAGTTTCATACACGAGAATGTAATATTACTACTGTTCACCATCGATTAATTTTGGAAAGCCAATTCAAATTTGAATGCTCTGGGTAGCCAAAACGTAATACGAGTGCAGCACTGATCGAGTTTTGTTACTTTTTTTGTGCTTGGGAGTTGGGACGGTTGAATTGGTCACTGAACTGGGATCTTAGCTTAACTTCTTGAATCTTAACTGAAAACCAGAACGAACAGTTCAATTACTGAAAACCAAAGTATTATGTTACCGAGAGTTTCAATTGTAACGAGAAGGAAATGATTGTAGCGGCACACAATATGATTAGATCAACTGGACCTGATCATTCTGCTTATAATTGTGTTAATGCAAATGATGGCAACCAACCATAAGACAGGAGATAAAGCAGTAAAGAAAAGGATGATTTTTGTTCCGCATGCATATAGAAAAATGAAACTCAAAATTTTGTCCAATTTGAATCGATCTCAATTGATCCCTCGTTACTGCCCATAAGAGAAGTAATATGCAGGGATGACAAGATTTGAACCCATGACATTTTGTACCCAAAACAAACGTGCTACCAAGCTGCGCTACATCCCTTTTCCAAATTGTTGTACAGTGTAATTGTACAAAAACCCGTGTCTTGTTTTCCACATCGTAATTTTATCCTCTATCTATATACAACTTTCTTGTCATTTCTTCTTTTTGGTTGAATATAATAAATAATATACATCTGAAACCCAACCTAACGTATGCATGATCATGTTTTATATTAGTCTTAGCTAAGAGCGAATGGCGTTCATGTGCGCCATATGCAGTCCGTTTTTTCCGTATGCGGTTTTTAGATGGGCCAGAATAGATTCACATAGATGGGCTGGACCAAAGGGATGGGCCTTTTGTTTAGTAAATTGAGGCGGGCCTAATTGATTTATAGGCTGAATTTGTTCCCCAAAAGAGAGGCAAGGTGAGCAAAATTGATTTAGATAGAACTGCAATTTCAACAGATGATCAAGTGACCTTGCATCTACAAATTTAGATTTAAGCAGAGGTCAAAAAAAACTACAAAATTAGACCTTGTGTCGTCAAAATGCTGATAGAAGAACCTCAAGCTGTCTCACCACAAAAGAATCGAACAATACTAGGATGAAGAACGAGGAGCCAACACAGTTCACGCGCCATTTATTACTCTAGAGCACAGGAAGACAATAATGCTACTGGGCATACTTGAACACAAACCCTCCCTCCTCTTGTTAAAAGCTATTCTACACCCATGAAAATAAAACCATAGGAGAGAATGCAGAAACACAATACACGATTTACAAGGGCTACTCTGCAGACGACTGACTGACTATACAGGGGATTGGTGAGACTTGAGAGGTACAAAGAATTAGTTGGCTTAACCAGCCATCATTATAATAAGATCCTACAACAACCCCTACTAATTTACACAATCTACGCGAACCCGCCGCTTGCCATAGACGGTAGCAGCGCTCTAGCACTATAGCAACAAGACTAACACTACCAAATACTGACGATGTTGATGGCATCCATCCTCATCTTCGTCGATGTTGGGCCATCTTTGCCTGAGCCTGCTTTATCCTATCCGCATACATCGGGAGGCGCGTGATCTCATGGATCTCTTCTAGAAGCTTCTCTTCGGTGATATTATCTGTGATGCTCCTCATTACCTTTACATAAATAGAATGAAATGGTCAGAGCATAGCACTATTTGAGCCTTTATCATCATCAGTAAGCTGTAAGCATATCATATTCTATTAAAATTATCTTTAGCCTACATTGCGCCCAGAGAACATCGACAATAAAACATCAAAATACAGACTTATGGTATTATATAGGACTTTAGCAGGTAAGCCATATTAACATAAGATAAAGAAAAAACAACTGATTCTGGAATAATCCTTTTCGCATTAGTTCAAATAAAAGAAATATCAAATCATAATGTTACAGAGTACCGACCATATTCAGATGCAGCCATTATGCACAGTTAAATTAGAAAATATTGTAACACAGAAGATAGTATAAGAAAACAGATTGTATAGGAAAGCCAACCTTGCGGTATGTGTTGATATCATTTGGAGTTGATTTATCAGATCTAATACGCATGCAGACCCAGCAGCCCTCTTCCTTATTCCAAGAGCACTCTACAATCCTCCCTGAGATAGAGGATGGATCTTCATCTGCACAAGTTTCAGAACATTAGCACAAATTATTTAGCACATAGCACATAAACAAAAAACAGTAAACACTCGATGGCTGATTTTACTTGGTTATTCCAAAACAGGAAACTAATTACATGCTAGCATCAGAAAGTTTGCACGCTAAAAAATAATAATGGATCCAAAATCATTCAAATTATAATATATGCTTTAATCAGTCAGATCTAATACTATAAAAGAGTAAAATGCTTCGCCACATATCCAAATATTATCTTATGCCAATCATTAGAATAAAAAAAACTGTGTACAGGATGAAATGAACATCAGATGACATGCTTACTTGGAAATGCTATGCGGGAACCATCCATAAGTTTCTTTTTGCCTCTCTCATAAAGGAAAACAAGCTGACGATTGTCACCCCCAACCTGTAACGATATATGTATAATGAACCTAACCATCAAAAAAATTTCTTCCACATGGCAAACCATTTGAAGCAACAACATTGGTTCACAAAACTTATACAAACCTCAAACAAAAAGTCAACAGAATTCATTGAAGGGTATTTCCACTTGAGAAGACCTTCATGGGTACGAGTTACATATGGATCATCCCAGCCCTACATGAATAACAGAAGTGATTCATCCAACACAAACAAATTATAGTTTTGAATAGATATTAACTGTTAACAACCACAAATTCACAATATGAATGTCAATGGCACATGATAAATCCAAGAAGATGGTTGAATTCACATGTGCGGGAAAGCCTTTACACATATTCAAACATATAATACTGTATTTACAAATTTAAACACAATTCTACAACTCCACATCAAACATCCAGCTATAATATAATAATGAGGAAAAAAATAGCCTGCTGAAACTATTTACGTCCAGTCTACAAAGCACAGTAGAAATTACTTACACCATTCCACCCCTCCTAGTACAGTTGAAACCTCACCTCAAAACTATTTTAAAGAAATTCACAGATGAGTTGAAAGAACACTTTTGAAGCATAATATATAACGATTTGTGTCAACAGCAAGACAAATGAAAAACAAATTCCAAGGGGCCTGCTAAAAGATAAGTTCAGATTGCCAAAACAGAAAGCAAGGGGCCTTATTGATTAACACCACCTTCATGCTCTGACGAGACATTAATGTGAATTAGCTTACAATCTTAAACCCCCCCCCCCATAGGGGATCAGGAAAAAAGTTATATGAATTCGCTCTCAATTTACATTTCTCTTCCCATTTGTTAACAAACATGCAACCAAGTCACATATCAATTACATGACTTGTTCTCGTAAGAGGATCTTCTGACTTACTTCACTCTGACTGAGTCACTGACATGTGGGCCCGCTAGGTAAGGGGCCCACATGTCAGTGACACAAGTTAAGAGGGAAGTTAGAGGATCTCATATCCTTGTTCTCAGTTAATCATATATTGAGAAGTTAAGTAAAGAAAATAATTTAGGTGCTCTCAATAATTCACATACTGAGTTACTGACAAGTCAAATGAAGCATATAGGTCTCCCAAACTTGCAACATGGTGCTTCATGTACAATCAGCACTTCATGCTTCAGTTCCCAAAAATGCAATCTCAACAAGGACATTATGGGGGAAAAAAAGATGGAGCAATGAGATGTGAAGCACCAGCAATCTATAAATGCATATTAGTGATTTTACTTAACACAGAACTGCATAGTTGCATATCAGTGATCACATGCATTGCAACAAAAAGTATGCCCTATCCTAAACAAAAGCAATAGGTCTGCTCTACATACATCAAAAGTCAAGGTAGAATGCAAATTGCAAATCAAAGAGTGAAAATGATTGTTTACCAGCTCAATTTTATGTCCCAATATCTGGCTTTCAAATATACAATAAAATTCATAGATATAACATGCTTTATTTCAAAAATATAAGTACTGCATCAACTTGAATAGAAAATCCTCAATGCATTCTAACTTCACCAATCACTATACAGCCATTCCCTTGGATAGAAGGCAAACCTACCTGAAAAATAAGACCATCAGCATCATGTGAAAGTGATGGAATAAACTCCTTAAGTAGCTTCGTTACTGTAGAAAGAAGCCAAAAATCCTTTCTCCTGACCTGGTAAGGAATCAGAAGATAGAGTAAGAAAATGTATTTTCCAGAATATACGTAGATAGAACAAGAAATTTCAGCCGGTGTCGATTTAGGTACCGAAAATAGTTCCATATCATATTTGTACATTGGGTTGCTCTTAACGCCACTCTCAAACTGTTTTTTTTCATAATAACGTGGACGAATTATTTCATCTTCAAGCAGCCTCCATCTTTCAGAAAATGGCAACTGCAAGCATAAACATGAAAATTTAGAACAATATTCAGACATATATCTACATCAATAAGAGCAAACTGTAAGCAAAAATATGTCACTAAGATAGCGGAAAGTTATATTGGAAAATATGTATAAAGTGTGAGCCCTAATAGACAGACATACTAAACAAAACAGGCATGTGAGATGGAAGGATGACATGTTTGCCCCCATTGCAAAGATCAAATGAAAGCAGTACAAGTTTAGTTTTCTGAAACATAATGCGAATAGTGTGTTTCTCTGCAAATGTCACTCACAAGAATTGTTGTTTGATGGTTTTGACAAAGGTAGCTCAGCGCTGTGAAATTGGTTCCAAATAAAATAGGATGGTATTATGAAACAACATTTCGATTATTGTTAGCAAAATGTGTGACAACAGAAAATCTGTAATCGCTCGTGATTATATTCTGACACAAAAATGGACTAAATAAATCATGGCAGAGAGATAAATCAAAAGTAAAATAATAGTTTGTCTAGTACTTCCTCCGTTTCATATTATAACTTTATAAGGCATCATGGGTTTGTCCTAAGCCAAACTTCTCCATGTTTGACAA